TGTATTATATAACAAGACTATCTCAAAAAATGTTTTTATAAGCTCAAAGTTCTGGGGATTGGAGAATCTAAGTTTAAGATGCCAGTATGTGGTAAGGACCTTCCTTCTATACCCTCCAGCAGAAGGTGCCACATGGCACAAGGGCAAAGAGAGCAAAAACTAGGACCTCTCCCCACAATAAAAGCATTAATCCATTCATTAGGATGGAGCCCTCATGATCTTGTCACCTGTTAAAGACTCTACCTCTTAATACTGCTACAATAGTAACTAAATTTCGATATAAATCTAGAACATATTCAAACCCTAGCACCTAGCTACTCTGGGCCATTCAATGGTCTTTAGAAGAAAGAGGTTGGATTGGCCCACAAGGCTGTCTGAGGAGGAGGGCCAAGAGGTAGCCCGCCACAAAGGGAGACGTTGGAAGAGCAAGGCTCCCACTATGTTGCAGCCGCAGATGGGCGGACTGTACACCTGGGGACGGCCCTAACTCGGGGTACAAACCGAACTGCACATAAGCTTTTAAAAACTTGTTTGTGAATTGCATACATGCATATCTGTTTTGCTCAAATCCATACCAATCCCCTCGAATTCCTCCCCCACCGCCCCACCATTTTTGCCTCCCAATTTCATGTGCTCTGTTTTTAAACCCACTGAGTCCACTTAGTGCTCCCTGTGTATGCATGGGTGTAGGGCCGTCTACCGGAACATGGGTAGCCTTCCAGGGGCCACATCCCTGAAGAAAGCTGATTTCTCCCTCCCTCAACAGTCATCAGTTGCCAACAGCTCCTAGCTAGATGTGGGCCTTCTTGAGACCCTCCTCACCCACTGCAGATTAACCTTTAATTCTACCTAGGAATTAGTTGTGAAGAACACATATTGAATACAGTGAAGAGGCCTCTGGACTTTTTATTGCTTCACTTATTTTTTAAAAAAAAACTCTTTTAGGTAATGAATTTTGTTCAAAATCATGTTTATTTGTTGGAAAATACCCAACTGAAAATTTGGAAGAAGAAAAGAAAAACCTAGTTACTCTAAACATTCTTGACACCTAGGTATGTCCAAATATTCCTGAGGGGAACACCTCATAAAAAAAATTCTGAGTTTGCGAATGAATACTTCTACTTTGGTTCCTTATAGGCAGGGTGACCCGTTAGTGTTAGGAACAATGCCCAGGCATTCTCATCAGCCACTCCAGGCACAGGAAGAAGCAGGGGCTGGGGTACAGTCAAGACCTTACTTGACTCCAGCCTCCCTTGGCCAAAGAATTGTTGGAACCTGTCATGTTCTCTCTTCCTTAAAAGTCTGTTTTGAGGTTGGGTTTATTTTCTTGATGTTTGTTTGTTTTTTGTCTTTTTGAGACAGGGTCTCCCTGTAGCCCCAGCTGTCCTGGAACTCACTATGTAGACCAGGCTGGCCTTGAACTCACAGAGATCTGCCTGCCTCTGCCACCCGAGTGCTGGGATTAAAGGCATGCGCCACCACACCCGGCTTATTTTTATTATTTTAAAATTTTATGTGAATGAGTGTATCGCTTGCATGTAGGTAGGTGCACCTGTGTCATGCCCAGGGGGGAGGGGAGGGGGAGGAGGAGAAGGAAAAAAGTTCTCTCTCACCGGACAAAGAACCTGGAAAATCCCACCAATACGCAGGAGGAAAACAAAAAATTATCAAAAAGTACCAACTCTTAAAAAAACTGGGAAGAAAATGAAATCTCGAGGTACTGGAAGGGAAGTATTACCAACTAGACTATCCATAAAGAATTGAGGCAAAATAGAAGTCTTCTCAGAACACGTATAAGAGCATTTATAACTCAAAAATGTTAAAGTCTTCAGGGCTGAGCACTGCGGTGCACCCCTGGAATTGAGTATTCAGAAGGTTGAGATAGGCGAAGTTCAAAGTCACCCTCGGCAAGTTCTTTAAAGTTTTACTTTATTTTTAGTATATGTTAATGGTACAAAGTAAGGGGCTTCATTCCGTTTCCATCTATATAATGTATTTTGATCATACTTACCCCCCCACACACACTATTGCCCTTTACTCTTCATATCCCTTTTTCCCTTCCACATCCTTAATCTATTCTTTAATATTAAGTCTGTGAAATCTAGCATATATTTTGCACTTACAGCCAATGCCAATTTGCAATAATGGGGGGGGGCTTGCTTGAATAATAAATAAAGAACAAGAGAGCCAGGCATGGTGGCACATGCCTTTAATCCCAGCACTCCAGAGGCAGAGGCAGGCAGATGCCTATGAGCCAGGCTGGTCTGCACACCAAGTTGCTACCCCCCCCAAAATAAAAGATAGAGAGAAAGAAAGAAAAAGAGAAAGAAAGCTATCTAAATAAAGACTTCTTTCTCCTCTCAAATTCTTTTTAATTATTTAATATATCTGACTATTGAAAGGAAAAAAATCATAGCAACATCTGTAGTGTTTCAAAATAGAGGGGTTTAATATACGCAAGAATAACTAACTGCTGTATAGCTCTTTCCTGTCAACTGAAATGTTCCATTTGAAGGAAAAAGGTGAGTCATAATACTCAGGAAGTTAACAAAACCTAGGACTCAGGTTGGGCAAAATGGGTCAGCAGGTAAGAAGAGCATCTGACACACAAGCCTGAGGACCTAAGTTGAATCTCCAGAACCCACACAGTGGAAGGAGAAAATCAACTCCTGCAAGTTGTTTCTGACCTCCCTACATACACACACACACACACACACACACACACACACACACACACACACCAAATAGGTAAATAAATAAAAGCCAGAGATGGTGGCACATGCTTTTAATCCCAGTATTCAGGAGGCAGAGGCAGGTGGATCTCTGTGAGTTTAAGTCCAGCCTGGTCTACATAGTGAGTGCCAGGCCAGCTGGGGCTACAGGGAGACCCTGTCTCAAAAAGACCAAAATAACAAAAATAAATAAAAAATAAAAATAAATAAATAAATAAATAAAGTACTCAGGAAACTTACAATACTTTAAGACTCAGAAATCTCAGAAAATTATAAGATTCAAGACTCACAAGGCCCTTTTCTGTGGTTGCATAAAATAAACAGTAAACAATTGCTGAGGACAAGAAGACTCTTTGGTGGAACTGCTTGTAAGACTATTGTAAGTTCTAGAACAACCACTAAAAATACCACAAAAAGGCAGAGCCAAAAAGACTAACAAATATAGATGAAATACTACAAAATATTGAAATAATCTAGAAATAACTAAAAAAGAGAGAGAACAAAATATAGTGGCAGACAAATCCTTAAGGCCAGTTGTAACATAAATTTTCTAAATAAAATCTTTAAAAATAGTAAATAATATATTTTCCAAATACCAATTAAAAGGTAGAGATTTTGAGATTTATTTTTTAAAAGATTCGGATACCTGCAGTTCAAAAGGAATAAATTTTAGGGCTAGAGAAATGGCTCAGCAGTTAAGAACACTGGTTGTTCTTGCAGAAGACCCGGGTTCGAATCCCAGCACCCACATGGCAGCTAACAACTGTCCATAACTCCAGTCCCAGAGGATCCGACAGCCTCTTCTGACCTCCATGGGCATTGCACTACATGGGTGCACTTACCTACATGCAGGCAATACACACATACACATAAAATAAAAATAATAAATAAAATTTTAAAAAAAGAAATAAATTTTAAATATAAGATATTTTAAGTAGCATAACAGGAAATTATACTGTATAAATACTAATCAAAAGAAAGTACAAAGCTTATATTGATTTTAGGCAAAATAGACTTTAGAACAAAGAAAATTACCAGAGATCAAGAACATTAGCAGCTGGTGAGATGGCTCAGCAGGTACAGGCACTTGCTGCCAAATATGATGATCTAAGTTCAAGCCCCAGCCACCCATAGAGTGGAAGGAGAGAACTGACTTCAGAAAGTTGTCCACTGAACCACACACATTAGCACATGGTCAGCAATTTGTGCACACACAATACATAATAAATAAATAAATGTTTTATTTTTTAAAAGGATATTATATAGGAATAAAAGGGTGAATTTACCAAGAAAACACAATGCTAAGCTGTCAGAACTGAGTAGACCATACAAGTCCACAATTATTCTTTAGGATATAATAGGACCATTAATCCTAATCTTAGACATTAATGTCTATACCTCTAGTATAGACATATCTGTCTGTACCTCTAGTATAGATGGACAAAGAAATGACCCTGTCTGAAAGCTCAGAGGGAGTGTAGTACTACACCCAGAGTGGCAAGGCTGCTCCTGAGTCAGTGTGGAACTGAACATGGTCAGCACTACCTTCTTGTTGAAATTTTACAGAAAATTAATAGCTATTTTTCAGCATTATCACTTGAGAAAGTTCAAATATAGTATAAGGAGTTTGTATGGACAGGCGTTACATTTCATCCATGATCCATTCTCCTACCTCTTATAGCAGTGTCCAGACTTTTTTAAGGAAAATATATCTAAATGCTCATATCTTGACTTACACTTAACCTCATGCCAATAAGTTTACTCTGTCCTTCTAACTCCAGTGATTGGTTAGAGATGGGCACTCAACCCAGCCAAAGCCAATGAAGTACAAGGACGTACTTTCTGGGACTCCTGGGGAAGGGAGAGTCTTCTCTTTGAGAACCATCAGAAAAGATAACATCCATTTGGATGAATGATGTGTTACAAGACTATTATGAGAGCTGGGCAGGGTGCAGCCTCTTGGACCTCATGAGGCAGAGCCTAGAAGCAGAGCCCCAGAATGACACCTACAATGTGGAGTGCTTCATGGAAGGAAAGAGAAAAGGAACTTGATTGCTTTGAGCCTCTGGTTTAAGCATTTCCTAAAGATGGGATAACTCTGGTAATTTTTATTTTAAAAAGAATAGCTGTTATCTGCCTGCTTATTCACTGATTTTTGCTTGCATTGTTTGGGGCTGTGTTTTCTGTCACTTGCAACATATAGCCCTAATACGGTTTAGTCTTTTCTAAATCACAAACATTTATCCAGAAATAAAAACAGAAGCCATGTATAGCAAGTGTTTTTACTTTTAACATTGAATATGGTCTTTACTTGCACAAAATAATGATTTGCAAACACTTGAAATAACAAAGCCTTGTATACAGAACAGTAGCCACTTAGTGAACAGGAGTATACAGATAAAAAGGCAGCATCCAGAACCTAGCATCGTGAGCAAAAGCAAAAACAACATCTATTCAAAGGTTAACTCTTTTTCTAAACCTTCGAAGAGTTTCACTCAAACAATTTTCTCGTGAAGGAATATTTACTGCCATCGACCACTTGTAATTCTTTTTTATTTTTACATATAAGACATATTAATTGACATAAACGAAACCATTTGTATGCATTAGTTTTTCAATTTCCAAACATCTCTTGGTTTTGAAGAACATTTAAAATATCCAAATCCAAGCCTGGTAGAGCACTTACCTATCATGTGAAGGCCCAAGATTTGATTCTAAGTACCACAAAAATCAAAGTACCACCACTAAATCAGTCATACATGGCTCCCTGAGGGTTGTATGTGCCCACTGCTCACAGATAGAAGGAACAAGGGGCCACCAGCTGGGGTGCCCAGGGGAGGCCTGCTCACCAAGGCATACATGTACTGCTCAGGAGAGCCAGGCAGTGTATCAAGGTGCCAGCATTAATCAAGTCCTCAAGCCAAGTGGACTTAACCAGGTCCCATGGGAGAGGTATCAAAGGGTTTTGACTCTTATAGTGAACTGCCTGTAATCCTTTTTTTTAAAAAAGACATTTATCTTATTCTGTGTGTATGTATGTGTATGTGTGCAGTGCCACAGAGGCCAGAAGAGGGGTCAGATCCCCTGGAAATGGAATTACATGTGGCTGTCAGCTGCCTGATGTGGTGTTGGAAACTGAACCTGGGTCCTCTGGAAGAGCAGCCAGTGCTCCTCACCACTGAGCCGTCTCTTTGGCCCCTCCACCTAGAATTCTTGAAGAACAAGCCTTGATTCTTCCTCTACCTTGTCAGTGCTTACTGAAAGAATGCCTTCTAAATTCCTCTGTGTTTTGTTTTTCAGGCTGAAACTGCTTTTTTGAGTGAGAATTCTGTAAGTGTTCTGGAAATCATAGCCATCTCTCACCTCAGTCAGAAAGGGTCAAGCTGTTTGTCCATCTGAACAAGGACTGGGTGCTAAAAACCAGAAGCTTCCTAAAGGAAATGGTTCTGTGGCTAAGGATGGGTAATACAGAGACTAAAATGGAGTAAATTATGGGAAGATGTGGATTCAGGAGATTAGTGTTTATGGGGCACTTATGAAGGACCTACAGAGGATTCTCAGCAGAAGGAAGCTGGCTCGTTACAAGCAGTTGGTCCTAGTCAAAGGCAGGACATGTTCCATACCCAAGACCCTATATGTGGAAAAACACAGCAGGAATGGGAAAGAAATCACATCAGAGACGCTCTCATCCAGGTGGCCTTGAGAGACAAGGAGAAATCCAACGTGGAGATGGAAGGGATTTCCCTAGCTGGAAGGAAGGGCACAAGCAGACACATTGAGAAGAGGAAGCGCAGAATAGTTGGGGAGGGGATCAGCTGGGGTGGACCCAGGCATAGGATAGCCTTCTCTGAGGGAGCCGTACTGAAGCAAGTCTTGCTGAATGTAAATTAAGAGCTCCTCCGGAGAATGGGGCTCAAAATCTTTACCAACATTCCAAGGAAGCATGTGCTTCTGAAAATGGCACCCTAGTGGAAACAGTCCATGGCTCCTGGCTTCTCTTGTAGCTCTGCCACTTTAATACTTGTATGACTGTAGACGTTCATTAACACAGCCTAAGGAACTCAACTGTAAAAAGAGGATATACTACCTTTCATATGTACCTCACAGCATTGCCATAACTATCAGGAGAGACTGTTGGCACAAAATAACATCTTCCACTTCCTTACAGTCATTATAGCTTTCTGTACAGGAAGCTCCCCCAGTCAATGTTATTTGCATCCTATTATTCTACTCTAGTAAGAGATCATAGAGACTGGGGAACAGGTCGTCTTCTGACTAGCAATGCAGAAATGTTTTTTTGTATAAATGTGTGATGGATGAGTGAATAAATGTATGGCTAATATTCAGACTCTCAAACTAAACAATAAAATGAAACACTAGAATCATCGTGCTTGGGCCATGGAAGCTCTGAGTTAATCACAATCAGTTGGTATCATGGTAGAGAAGGAAGCCTGTGAAGGTAGAGTCGTTGACATTATCTGCATAGAGTCCGTTATGGTCCCCATCCCCATATACCTGGAGCCAGACCTGGTCACCCACCTCCAAGTGGAGGAGCACAGAGCCAGAGGCCTGGTCCACATTCTTATCCTGATACTGGTCGTAGGTGAAGAGAACAGCCTTGTCCTTCTTGAAGAGGCTCACCTTCACATCCTTCATATACACGGTGATGTGGTAGGAGAAGTAGTACAGCCCAGGAATGTTGCAGTGGAATTTGCCAGTGGTGCCATCATAGTGATTTTGTTGGTTGTAGAAGATCTTGGTGAAGCGAATGGGAACATTGGGAACAGTGACTCGGGTCTCCAGCCCCACGCTGAATGCTGAGCGGTATACATAAGCACCTTCTCCGGGTTCTCCTTTCCTGCCTGGGGTTCCTGGAAAGCCTCGGGGACCTTCAGTTCCAGTCACTCCAGTTTCTCCTATCTCACCCTTAGGACCAACAAGACCTAGAGAATGAGAAGAACTCGGTGACCACAGGGAGAACTCCTATCTGGATTGTCTGCAGCTGAAACTGTTGATTCCAGGGCCTCCAGCCACAATCTGACAGGACAAAGAACAGTGTCTTCTCCAATCCCCACATTCCCCACAGCCTGCCAGGTTCCTGTCAGTTCCCCTCCCACCTTACTTTTAAAAGCCTCTATAAATGGGGCTAAAAAGAGCACTGGCTGCTCTTGCAGAGGACCTGGATTCGACTCCCAGCACCCACATGGCACCTAACAATCATCAGTAACTCCAATTCCAGGGGATCCGACACCCTCTTCTGGTCTCCGATAGCACCACATAACATGAGTGCACTTCTATACATGCAGATAATACACTCATACACATAAAACAAATAAAAATTTTAAATTTTTTTATGTATTATTTTTATTTTGTATATGAGTATTACACCTGCATGTAGGTAGGTGCACCTGAGTCACACAGTGCCCTCCGAGGACAGAGGAGGACATCAGATCCCCTGGAACTGGAGTTACAGATGGTTGTTAGCCACCATGTGGGTGCTGGGAATCGAACCCAGGTCCTCTGTAAGAGCAGTTAAGCACCCTTAACCGCTGAGCCGTCTCTCCAGTCCTATAAATAAATAATTTTAAAGCCTTTGTATATATGATAATGAATGAAAAGATGAGTGAATAAGCACAGAGATGAATAATATTTAAAACTTTCAAACTATACAATACATCCTTGTTGGCTCTTCTCTGATGGACAAGTGGATTATGTGGCCTGGTGGGGGCTCTGAGTTAATAGTGAGCAGTTGGTGTCAGTTAACGTTCTGAACATGATTTTCCCATTTGCTCATTCATCTATTCATTTATTACATGCCCAAAGCCCAGCAGGTGTCCATAAATTTATCTCCAATCTCATCTCCTCTAAGTATCCAGTCTTTTATGTGCTGGCTCAATCCTCTTCTCTACCCAGGATGCTCTCCCTCTTCTGTGCTGCTGAACCGCCCTTCCAGGTCTACTCAAGCTGTGCCTCCTCCATGAAGCTTCGTTGTGAATCTCCGTCCTCACTAACGCTCTTTCTCTGAGTTCCATACCTCAGGCATTTCTATGCATTCAGTCTGGCATGTTGGAGGACACTTTCTCCTCGAAATCACTGACAGTTGTGATGGTTGGTTTTAATGTCAATTTGTCAAATCACAATCACCTGAGCAGGATCCCACACCTGAGGAATTTTCCTTATTGCCTTAATTCATGTTGCAAGACCCAACCAAAATGTGGGCATGTCTTTTGGGCAGCAGTTCAAATCAAAAGGACCTGTCAGAAGCCAGGTGATTCGCCTCTTGCTTGCTTAGCCTTCCCTCGTGCTGCGGAGTCGATTCTGTTGCTGCTGCTGTTGACCCTTCACAGGCATCAGAACCAGTGTTTCCAGGCTTCCATCGTTGCCTAAGAACCAGTGGCTCTTCAGGAAACCTCCAGGCCTCTCCAGTGTGAGGCAGTCACTGCGGGACCACTCCAACTGCTGAGGCACTCACCCAGCCTCAAGGACCAAGTGACCGCCAGGTTCTCAGTCTCTCTAGTGTGAAACAACTGTTATTATTTCAAAATATGCTGATTTAGTACATTCTTTTTGTCTATAGGTTCTGTTCCTCTAGAGAATCCTGACTAGTGCAAAAGTCTTGTGCATTAAATTTGTCTTCTAACTAAACCAAGGGTTTTCTAAAAGCTGGGATATACTTAAGGAGCTGCATGAATTAGATGTGGTTGAACGCCACTGAATGGAGCAGGAAGGTGAAAAGAATCCCAGGAATAGGAACTAATGGGAATAGGGTGAGGGTGGCAGAGGGAAGAAGGTGCAGGAGGAGCAGAGCCAAGTGTACCACCTAGCCTCACCCCTGGAAGGCAACCTGAATTCCAGGATGCGTATGAACCACATAAAAACATTAATTTTGCCTATGCCTAGGCCTTTGTTGATAACTAATGTTAGTACATAGCCCTCCAAGCCCTCCTCTACCCAGGAGCAGTCTTCTGATAAAAAAGCCAGAACCCTTTTCTTACCTGCATCTCCCTTCTCACCCTTTTCTCCAGGAGTGCCATCTCTGCCATCACGTCCTGGGGTCCCATTGTGGCCAGGATGCCCTGGGATGCCTGCCATCCAACCTGCACAGGCCCCTTTGGGTAGAGGGAGCAGGATTCCTGGCCCTTCAGTCGTGGTGTCCTCAGCATTACCGGGCAGGACCAAGAGCAGCACAACAGCTCGAAGCAGCAGCATCCTGAGCTTGGAATCCATAAGTACACAGTCATCCATGGGAGGGGCAGACCCACACTGCATGTCCAATCAGGACATTTCTCGAACTCTATCCATCTCAGCCTCAGTGGAATCCACTCCAAAGAACCACTCCCTTAACACTTACCTTTCCCAGAAGCCTTTGCTGGCTATTTCAGCCTACCTTGCTACTTCTCTGAAATTTGCAATGCATAGCGTAATTCCCTGTATATAGTTTCCTTTCCTCTGCAGGACTGTGAGGTTAGGGGTGGCAAGGATATCTCTCTTCCAGATTCCCTATTCCTGAGTGCAGGTCAGACACAGGAAATGCTCCAAGAGCCAGTTTGCAAAAAAAAATAATAATAATCTATCCCTGGGTTTTCCAGGAATCATGACTCAGATTGCTCCATTCAACTCTAACCAACTTCTCTATTTCCCAGGCTCCTTTCTCTTTTTAGAAATAATTTATCTTTCTTTTATGTGTATGTGTGTTTTGCCTGCATGTATGTAAATGCACCATGTGTGTACAGTGCTCACAGAGACCAGAAGATGGCATCAAATCCCTTGGAACAGGAGTTTACAGGTGGTTGTTAGCTGCAATGCCAGTGGTGGGAACCAAACCTAGTCCTCTTCAAGAGCAGCCAGTGCTCTTAACCCGAGTCATCTCTCCAGCCCCCTGGCTCCTTTCTCTTTTCTCCCTCCTTTTCATATATATATAGTATGGCTACATAAGTCTTTGGAGACTTACAAGAAAAAAGCATCGTTAATCCTAAGAATTTCAGTTTTGTTTTGGTTTGGTTTTTTTGCTTTAAAAATGTATTTATTGATTCTAGAATTTCATACAATGCATTTTGATCAAAGTCCAGCTTTTTTTTAATGGTAGAAATCATTCTTTACTTAGAAATTTACTCCTGTTTTAGTTTTGTCATTTCTAGTTTTTATAATCATCATCATAAATGTCTATAGTGCTGGTCTGTCAAGTGCGGAGAGCCAAAATATGTGTAAGTATCTCTATTCTGTGGAACTTTCAGCTTACTTCCACTTATAACCATCATTTTATACTCTGTAACAAATTATTTTATGCATTGCTTTAAAAATAATATTTAAATATCCTAAGGCCTATATCATGTCCTAAAATCATCATTATATATGATATATTACCAGATATAAATTATTGAACAAGAAATCTAAACATTTTCAAGTCTCTTGCTACACATTCCCCCACTATAACATGTTATGCTGTCATCCAGTAAAATGTTAGTCTGTGCATCAAAGGAACTATTTCAGGCTGTGAGCACTTGCTCAGCATGTGTGAGGTCCTGGGTCCCATCCACAAAACAACAAAAAAATAAGCAAATAAATAAAGTCTATCTGAATTACTCTTTGAGCATGCACATCAAAAACTGTTGTTGTTATTGTTGTTGTTGTTGTTAGTTTAGTGAGCAAAAGGAATTATTTTCATTCTTTACTCATTAATGAGTTGTATATTTTATTAAAGGCCTATCTCTTAATTACTTAAGGTAAATTCATGGTATCTCTGTGAGTGTTCTATGTCATTTAACTTATTGAAGTCAATGTGTTTCTTTTTCAATTTATGGTTGTTTGATCTGTTTTCCTCTTTGAGGTGTTTTGAGACTGGATTTCATGTAGCCCAGGCTGGCCTCAAACTCACTATGTAGTCAAGGATGACCTTGAACTCCTGATCTTCCTGCCTTCACCGCCCTAGTGCTGGGATGACAGGCATATGCTACCACCATAGAGGTATGTTTTGTTTTGGTTTCTTGAGACCGGGTCTCAGATGTAGCACAAGTTAGCTTCAAATTCAGGGCACTCCTTCTCCCTCAACCTCCTAAAACCTGGGATTATATATGTGTACTAGCATGCCAAGCTGAGATAATCAATCCCCTCCCCCCTCCAGTGCTTAGAATTTCTAGGCAAGGGCTACACCACTTAGCTACATCTCCAGCCCTACGCTGTGTCTCTGGAATGGATCTCTGTGAGCTCTTTGTATCACATGTTGCGCACCTGCTATGTGTTCTTCCATCTGCTTCTCATTTTTAGGTGTACAGAAATTCTAGTTTTTAAGTCAACTCTGCTGATATTTTTCTTTGTCTCCAAATATTAAATAGTCCTTATCACAGATAGACTTTGGTAAAAATTCCATATTCTAGTTTACTTATTATTTCATGTATTTAAATTTTCACTTTTTAATCCATCTGTGACTTTTTTATGTTGATGTAAACTATGTACTCAAATGGCTTTTCCCCACTCGAAGACTGGCTATTTAGATACCTTTGACTGAAGTAAGCTTTTCACTTCCTGTTGATCTGATGCATCATTTATTAAATATAAGACTCTAAGCTGGGAGAGGTAGCTCACACCTTTAATCCCAGCACTCAGGAGGCAGAGGCAGGTGAACTTCCGTGAGTTCAAGGCCAGCGTGGTCTACATAGTGAGTTCCAGGCCAGCTGGGGCTACAGGGAGACTCTGTCTCAAAAAGACCAATATATATACATATATATATATGATTCTAGTATAATCATGTAAGCAGTAAGCACTGAAACTGGAAGAGGAGGGAGCGAAAGAGAGGAGAGGGGCAGAGACAACAGCCAGAGTGCAGCATTGGGGGTGGGGGGCGGAGACTACAGTCTCTCTAGACTGGCTCATAGCTCCTCTGTGTGCCTTTGTCGCCCTCTATTGAATCTGGAGGGCAGGGCACAGGAGTCTATTCTCAGCAACGGCTGTAAAATAAGGAGCTCAGGACTGGTAGTTCCAAAAACAGAAGGCAGAGTTTAGAAATGAGAGGGGGGGAGTCCTCCAAAGCCCCCTTTGCATTTAGGAAGAACGCTTATTCTGAAACTCTTTTATTATATTCTCTCCCCCTCTCCTTCTCCCTCTCCCTCCCCCTCTCCCTCCCTCCCTCACTCCCTCCCTCCCTCCCTCCTTTCTCTCTCTCTCTCTACCCAAATATAAAGGATCATCCAGGGCTTAACCCAAATGCCGGGACAGAAGGCAAAAGCAGACCTCCAGGGTTTTCTGACTTCTCCCTTTCCGCTGAAAATCAGTACCCCAATCTCCTCAACCAAAAGCACAATGCGGAATGCCTAACTTTTAAATATGTATTTATTTATTTATATATTTATTTATTTATTTGCTTTCATTTTATGCATGGGAGTGTTTTGCCTGCATGTATATAAGTGCATCCAGTGCATACAATATCTGCGGAAGCCAAAATAGGGTGTCTGATCCCCCTGGACAGTTGTTAGCTGCTTTGTGGGTGCTGGGAACTGAACCCAGCCTCTCTATAAGAGCAGCCAATGCTCTTAACTGCTGAGCCATCTCTCCAGCTCAGAATGCCTAATTTTTAATTTTTAAAATTTATTTA